GTAAAAGTAGTCATTATGCAGAATGGCACAGCATATATTGATGTACATCGTATTATTTGAATATAATTACTGATGTATTACTGTGTACATCACATTTAATGTTTCAGCTGGTAAAGGTAGAGCTAATTTTAAACTACTTTACTGCTGGGTAGCTAGGATCAATAAAATCTGGTGATTATACTGTTGTTTTATTAACCTCTTTCTGAAAAGTAAGTAGTAACTACAGTTAGCAAATGAATGTAGTGAATACAAAGTACAAATGTTGTTAAGTTGAAGTATGAAGTAGCAGAAAATGAAAATACTCAAAGTACAGAGACCTCAAAATTGTACTTAAGTACAGTACTTGAGTAAATGTACAGTACTTAGTTACTTTCCACCTCTTACTAGTGGAGTTGCTAGTAGGGATAAACACACAGATCACTTACAGTAGCTGTAGCCACAGACTGACTGTCTCAGCTGCTGTTATCTGGATTGCCAAGGCATTTGGTACCAGATTTCTAGTGATGCCTGGTTCCTCAGCCCAAGTCTGGCCTATTTACCTCACATCTGGGCTGATGCTGGCTGTGGTGTGTGCACCAAAAATGGTAGCATCAGACAGTCACTTTGTATGTGGGCTGGACTCTGGTTGAGGAACTGTGCATATGCTGAGTCAAGAGAAAAAAATATGTTCTCTACATATTTGCCAGAATAATTTTAATCTGAGGTTGTTGCTTCAGGTTTTGAGTAAATTATCTTTTAAAACAAACAAACAAACAATTGGATTGTGCTTTGAAATTTGACATAAATGCCCCCACAGGGTGAACTGTAATAGATTTTTAGAGCCTTGCAGAACTGTTATGATTGCTGTAGGCTGTTAGTCTAATGTTAAAATGTTTAGTATTTTATCAACTGTATCAGTATGTCATATGTCAAGCTGATGTATCAGAGATGTTTTAAGTTACTGCTAATGCAAACCAGCACCTATTTTTACAGCAAATCTTTTCATTTTTGCAATGCAAGACTGGAACACAACAGAAGAACACAAGAAGCCATAGTGATACTTGTATTGATTTGAAGAGAACTTTATGACCTGTGTTATTAAAACATGCTTGTTGTTGCAGGTGTTACCAAATCAGATAGGATTTAAATCTTAATGATTACAGTTTTAAATAATAGCAATTATATTATATTAATGACACCACTATTCATCTTTATCTTATTCAGCTTGTAACAAGCATGGAAAACCAAAGACCTGAGCCTCCATGGTTGCAAAGTTATTAGATTTATTTGGCCGACAATTGTGGTGTCATGATTCTGTCCCGCTGGCCTCCGGTTTCCGGCTTTTATTCCCACCCTGTGGGAAGCTGCCAGATTGTTCTTTGCTTTGCCTAGACTCTCCAGCCCTTTTTTTCTAGTACCTGCCAATCTGAGATCGAAACCCTGCCTGTATTTTACCCACCAACGATTTTGCCTTGTCCTTGTTGAACTGCTATTCTGATATTGAGACCCTGCCTGTACTACCAACCAGAGATTCTGCCTTGCCCTCCCTCCCTGATCCCTCGATACTGTTTACCATTCCAGTCTGACTCTGTTTCTCCCGCACCTGAGAGCCCTGAAGCGGACAATAAACTCTGTTCTACTACCTCAGACTACTGGCTCTTTAATTGGATTCACACCTCCACATTCACGGGAGCTTCACGTACCACCTCGGGACACGTGGACATAACACTGACTGTTTCCCAAGTTCAGTCTATTTCATAGGAAGTTAATGTATTGGGGAAAAAAAAGTTTGGAAAATATGTGGAAAAATTATTTGTTGAAAATGCAGTGTTTTTTTGACTTCAGCACTCAAAATATTAATCACAAATGTTAGAAAAAGATGTAAACTACACTGGCCATAACCAGGCCTCTTTAAAATGAAAAGCTGCTTCTGCAAACAACAGTCAAGCACACCTTGGATCATTTTGCTCATCTGTGTGGGTAGTAACATTTACAGTGACATGCTTATCATACTTCACAAGCAACACAGCATGTGTGGAAGTTCAATGGTTCAAAGGAGGCCCTGACTGTTCATGAACTTGTCTGGATATCTCTATCCAGGCTTCTTCCGGATATCTGGATAATGTTTTCAGTTGATAAGTGAGTGTTTGGAAGGATGCCCATGGTTGTAGCTTCTTTTGTTTGTACATGGTGAGGAGAGGCTCCAGTGATCAGTGTGGGGAACAGCAAGTCAGAGTAAAAGAAGGAAATCAAATGAAGTGTAGACACAGAGCAAGCTGCTGCAGGGATCGCTGGGATCTGACTGAAGACAAGACAGGCAGGCCAGAGAGACACTGTCTGTCTGCCAGTCTGTACATAAAGCCAGACACCAGCAGCCCTCTGCTTCTTTCAGAGTGGTAAGAATCAGAGGAGAACTGGGAGCAGGACACAGCCATCTCCTTTGGAGGTGGGATGGGTGGAGTTGAACAAGTCAGCAGCTGTTAGAGGCACACAGCTGCTCTGGAGACCTCTCTGCTAGCAGGTGTTTGTACCTGATACAGGATTCTCCCAGAGGACAAGATTCAAGATTTTTATTTGCCATTTATGCATAAACAGACAGTCTAGGCATATAGGAATTCTTGTGCAGCTCTCACTTGGAGTCAAAAGCCAGAAAGAACACTTAGTCTTAAAAGAAAAAAAGTTACATAAAGGCAACAAAGCATTAAAACCACAATACACAAAAATAGAGTAATAGTATTGGTGTTTCAGGGTATGGAATAAAGCCAGAGCCATCATGTTGTCCACTGATCTGTTGGGGCGGTAGGCAAACTGGAGGGGGTCTACAGTGTCCGGGACAATGTGGTTAACGTGTGTGAGGACCAGTTTCTCTAAGCACTTCATGGCGACTGATGTGATCGCCACTGGCCTGAAGTCATTCACAGTGGATGTGTCTGATGTCTTAGGGACCGGTATGATAATGGATTTTTTTGAAAATGCGAGGAACTACTGCTTGGATTAAAGACAGGTTGAAGATGTATATATACACACTAGCTAGTTGATCCCCCATAGGCTCTCAACACTCTCGGGGGGTACATCGTCTGGTCCCGCCGCCTTATGGGCATTGTGTCGACATAGTACATTAGCTCTGGGTGAGAGTCCAACGTGCTCGGGTCAAAAGCTCTGAAAAGACTGCGCTCTCTTAGCAGTAACAAAGTCACCTGGTCATAAATAAAGTTTGCAGCCTTAACTGTTGCTTTAACATGGCACAAATAAGCAAAAAAGAGACAAAAGAGAAACAACCTGACTCCGAGTGAACTGCGACGTCACACACCAGGAAGCGCCGACAAGAGCACAGAAACACACACACACACACACACACACACACACACACACACACACAGTGAAACAAACACACCCTCTCTCCTCACCTCCCTTTTCACCATAACACATGCCCTCTGCTAATAAATCCCATTAGTGCACTTAACTCTAAAGGTAAAATTAGGCCTTGACACTTAATCTTGTTAGTTTTCACCATGTCCTGTGATTATGTCAGTCTCAGACACCAAATTTTCAGAGCTGCACCTCACAACTAGGAAAAACACACTCTGTGGTGATGTCCCACATCACCAGAGTAAAATTGTAACCATCACTCACCTTATATGATTATCTACTGTAACAAAGTACAATAAATAAATGAACATTTCCTAACAGAATCCTTCTAACTGTTTACTTCTGTATAATTTTGTTTGTCATTACTGTTTTTCATATTTTGGGTGGAACCTGTATCCCGTGGAGATTACATCCTAGTTATGGCTACAACATTCACTCTATGACAAATGGCTAATTATTCACATTGTTATTCTTCCACACCAGACAATAAAGTCAGTCTTAACATTTGATTGTGTGAGCAATTACAGTTGCCACGGAGCTAGAAAAGTGTTTACATGGCCCTCAAAACAGGCTACAACTTAATCATGCATGCACATGTGTGCGCATCACAGGTGCACTCCAGTGCTTCAACAAATAGCACTCACCTCTGTCTGTGAGCTCTGTGTAAAAGGAACTATAATGTGACCATTCATACACCCTTTCTTCTTGAAATCCTTATTTGTATCTTCTGTCTCAAGATTTGTAGACATGCACTGTAAAAACATATTCATTGGCTTTCAAAAAAAAAATCAAAGTTCATCTGTTACCTAAACAAAAGTGCATGTGTCCTGATAATTTCAAATCTTAATCTGTGGTTCATTGCAAAGAAAGTTCTGTTAACTTGTGTTCTTTAGTTGGAGAAACATATTCCATTACAATAACTTGCTTAAAAGTCTATTAGAAACTCAGAACAGTTGAAAAACAAAAGCAGGACGGTCTGTGTCAGCGCAGGAGGTACTCAGAAGTATGGGTTATATCGATAAATGCAGAAAAATTGTTCCACCTGATCTGTTTATGTTGTAGGAGTTTCTGATAATGCAAATAAAGTTATCAAATTGTGCCACCTGGTTTATGTGGGTCAGATTAAAGTCTTCTTTCTGATCACAGTGAAATTCAAAATCATAATGAAGAAAGGTCTGCATGTCAGACACTTCCTGCACTTGTATTAAGCATTTGAGTCTTACGGGTCATATTGAAGACTATGAGCCTAGGTGGTAATAGCTGCTGGCAGTGCAGCAAAACGTGCATAATAGACAAACACTTATCATAATTACTTACATAATTACTTCCAGCTCATACATACATCCAACAGTCCATCATTTTCCAAATGAAACTCTAATTTGCAGCCACATTTGATATTACATATTCCCCTCTCAAAACTGGATCTCACAGCACACCTCAACATTGGATCAAACCACATTCCTGAGTTGTCACAAATAAATAAATAAAGGTAACAAAGTGGGTGAGCATTTTCTGTAATAGCACTGCAGCACTTTTCAGATGTGTGAGTGTGGCTTAATCACTTGTAAGACTTGACTGAGTGTGTGTTAATAAACATTAGGCTGCCTGTCTTCCCCTGGTGATGAGTGGTTTATGTGCTTTGCTCTCTGCAGGCTGAAGATGCAGTCCTGAAGATTGATGGAGGGCCATGCTATTCAAACAGCAGGCACTGCTGAGACAGAAGCTCCTTGTTCTGGGCAGCCTTGCTATCGGAAGTGTCCTTTATCTTGTGGCCAGGGTTGGGACCTTGGATAGGTGAGCCATCACTGTGAGATTCTGAGAAATATTGCATGTGTATTTAAAATAATCAAGTTGTGTTCTGGCCTCTTTTTTAAAATTCACGTGCAGTATAAATTATTATATAACACAGTTTAGGTGAACACTGAATCAGCATCTTCCACTTCATGAAGTTGTTTAAATGGATGACTTCATACAAGAACATGGCAGTTCTTAGGACAAAAAACTGTTTACAGTTTTAGCAGCCATCAATGTAAAGGTATTTTTGCCCAAAGCTAAGTCTGTCAGGTACCTATGAGATTAGATATGTCAGCACTACCAAATGAGGTGGAATTTGCACTGTATATTCCATGAGAAAACCCTTCCTGAGATATCCAAATTATAGTAAGAATTTTCTCAATTTTTTTCACTTGCTTAAAAAACACACCTTTCAGAGTTAAAAAATAGACAAATTTTACTTGATATGATTAACATGTTTTTTCAGTGTGCATACCAAATGAAAAATATGACATTTTTGTTCATAAAATTATAAATATCTCATGTTAAAATGCTATTTTCTTGGTAGGAACTATAAAACTCATCATGGCTAAATTAGCAAAAAGCAGGGTACTAACTATGGAACTCGAGGGTTGTTTTAACTTGAGTTAAAACAATTTCCAAGGCAAGCCATGTGTGCTTAGTACTTTCTGAGTGGGTAGCATACATCTAGCCTCAATTAAAAACAAATCTTGCACTCTAGTATTTTAACCAAGCCAAACATTTGTTTATATATGAAATTAAGAATTCTTGTCATAAATCATTTATTCTATATATTTTTATTTCTCTCCTATTTTTTATTTATTTATTTTTGCTTTCAGGCTACAGCCCATTTGCCCCCTTGAGAGCAGACTGACACACCCTGAGCCAGAACAAATCCCTCTCCGCAGCCTGCAATTTAAGCGTGGCCTGCTTCATGAACTACGTAAGGGCAATGCCACCAAAGAGCAAATCACCCTGCACAACCTTGTCCAACAGCTGCCTAGGGCCATCATCATTGGGGTGCGCAAGGGGGGCACTCGTGCCCTATTGGAGATGCTCAACCTGCATCCAGCAGTGGTCAAGGCTTCACAGGAGATTCACTTCTTTGACAATGACCAAAACTATGCCCGAGGAATCGACTGGTACAGACGGAAAATGCCCTTCTCCTTCCCTCATCAGATCACCATTGAGAAGAGCCCTGCCTATTTCATCACCGAGGAGGTTCCTGAACGCATCTTCAAGATGAATTCCTCCATCAAGCTGCTGATCATCGTCCGTGAGCCCACTACCAGAGCTGTATCTGACTACACACAAGTGCTGGAGGGCAAGGAGCGGAAAAACAAAACCTACCACAAGTTTGAGAAGCTGGCTATTGATACTAACACCTGTGAGGTGAACACAAAGTACAAAGCTGTTCGGACCAGCATCTACACCAAACATTTGGAGCGCTGGCTGAAGTACTTTCCTGTAGAGCAGTTCCACATTGTGGATGGGGACCGCCTCATCACAGACCCGCTGCCAGAGCTGCAACTTGTTGAGCGCTTCCTCAACCTCCCCTCAAGGATCAGCCAATATAACCTGTACTTCAATGTCACCAGGGGATTTTACTGCCTGCGATTTAACATTGTCTTTAATAAGTGCCTGGCAGGCAGCAAGGGTCGCATTCATCCAGAGGTTGACCCATCAGTGGTGGCTAAACTGCAGAGGTTCTTCCACCCCTTCAATCAGAAGTTTTCCCAGATCACTGGTAGAACATTCAACTGGCCATGAGGAGCTTTGAACATCTCCAGTGAGATACCTTGGTTTTGTGGATTTTAAAAGCTTGGAGATCTCTGAAGATAATAACAGCACTTTGATTGAATTTTGATACTAAAAGGACAGTGTGACCAAATATAAAAAGAACTTGATTTAAGTTTGTTTTTATGTGTGAAATAAAACAAAACAGTTTGACTGTTTTGACTAAAAGATTCTGTAGTTAATTCACCTGTCTGTCAATGTTCCCAGTGAAGGAAAATAACAGTACTGAACTGTGCAATTAACTAAAGAGATTATTTTTCTTATTTTGCTTTTTTAAAAGACTATCACTAAGACTAACACTGATATTCATACTGTTAAGATAAGCTTTAAGTGTGATGCTTTATTCATGATAAAACACCTTAAAACATGACAAAATGACATCTGATAAACAACAAAATTGTTCATTTGTCTTCCTTCATATTGTTTATTTGACCAAAACTGCATGGGCAATCAAGATGCTAAATAACATTGTAGGATCTCATATTAGGTGTGTTCTGTTGTTGGTTCATATTGTTTTTCACTTCATCTTATATTTAGTTCATGCTGTGATCAGTCCAGTAGAAGGTGACCTAATTCCCAACCCAGCATTAGCCAACATTATCCAGAGAAGGCTTATCACAATAGAATCTGGTGTTTCAAGCTTGATTCAAAACCTGCAAAGCATTTAAGACTTGAGCTTGTGTTTTATTGTGAGTACATTGTATCTTCCCTCTTTCAGTAGTTTGCAAAACACCTGGCAATAAGCCATTGTGGAAAAAAAGTTGTCCAACAGCTTATTCTATGATAATTAGCAAAATATGTCTGTTTCTGTGCAAATATTCATGCTGTATCATAAGTGTGTTGTTTAAAAGGTTAAATTAAAAGAACTTGTAGATTGTCCACTACTTTACTGTGTACCATTGTTTATCCTTTGCTAATGAAAGGAATAGGTTTTGGGAAACAGATGAGGAAACTGATACAACCCTTATGTCTGTGCGCTACGTATGTAGCTGGAGTCTGGAGGTGATTAGCCTAGCTGCCAGGCTAGCTGTGCTGTTTCCTACTTCCAGACTGATGCAAAGCTAGATTACTACTGACTCTATGTTTGCACTTTACACAGAGCGGTACCATCTCATCTAACTCTCAAAAGATCAAATTTTGCTTTTAAGTTGTGAAAGTGGGATTTCATTCATCACAAGTACAAGAACAAGTCAAGGAATCATATTTTAGAGGTTGTGGAAAAAAGTTAATCAGGATTTTCTTTGTAAAATGATTCAGTCAAGTTTCACTATGTGGAAGCGTTGGGTAACTTCAAAGAACCACGCAAAGTGTACTACCATTTACACTGCACCAACACAGTCACAACAGTACCATTGAAAACAGAATCTGAACAGTACTGGAAAAGCATATGGAAGGGAAGGAAGACACATAACACCAGTGCCCAGTGGCTGCAGGACCTGAGAGCCGACCACGGGAATCTCCCAGAACAGGAACCAGTCACCATCACTGTAGCAGACATCTAACAGTGAATCAAGAACCTGAAGAGCTGGACATCGCCCGGTCCAGACATGTTCCACACCTACTGGCTAAAGAACAGCAGTACATGAACGCCTAGCAGCACAGATAGACTAGCTGCTAGCAGCAGGCTCCCACCCAGACTGGCTAACACAAGGAAGGACAGTGCTGATCATGAAAGACCCCCACTAGGGAACACCACCATCCAACTACTGACCAATAACCTGCCTCTTCACAACGTGGAAGGTCCTGTGAGGCATCGTAGCTGCCAAGCTACAGGTCCACATGTACATGACCACAGCTCAGAAGGCCATTGGGAACAACACCAGAGGCTCAAAACACCGGTTGCTGATAGATAGAGCCGTCACCAACAATTCAAGGTCCAGACAGACCAACCTGTATAAAGCCTGGACTGACTACAGGACAGCCTATGACTCAATGCTGTACACAAGGATCTTGGAATGCTTGGCATACAAAGTCAACAGGATACTAAGGACCTTCATCATTAACTCAATGGGACTGTGGAGAACAGCCCTGGAAGTCAGCTCTGGACCAGTTGCACAAGTGACCATCAAGTGTGGCATATACCAAGGTGATGCACTATGCCCACTGCTGTTCTGCATAGGTCTGACCCCACTCAATCAGCTCATCACAAGGAGTGGGTACAAATACAAGTGCAAGAGTGGAGCTACCATCAGGGAGCTACCTCTGCTAGAGCTACCTCTACATGGATAACCTCAAGCTGTATGCCAAGAACAAATGAGACATTGACTCACTGATCCACCTGACACGGGTCTTCAGTGAGGACATCAATTGTGCAAAACTGTAAGTACCAGATCAATCAAAGCAAAGGTCTACCAAACTAGAGAGGACCCCAGGTGCAGACAGTGCAAGGAGGCCTCAGAGACAGTCCAGCACATTGTGGCAGGATATAAAATGCAGGCAGGAACAGCATCAGGAACAAACCACTTCTGCTTCATTCAGATTGAATCAGCTAACTTGTTTGGTTCGATAGGCCGAGATTTGAAACATTGATGAGATACAGATGTATTTAAGATGGATGAAACAGTGCTCTGTCCTACCTCTTGTCAACACATTTTGGATTGCCTTGCTATGGAGCCATCAAGGAAACAATCACAAGTGTGGGAACATTTTGAACTGGTGCCACCGAATAAGGTAAATTATATTTCCAAGATGTAAGCCTTATTGTCAAGTCTGTTATTCATACAATGGATGTTCAAGTTTACAGGAAGAATAAATCACACACAGATCTCATTGTGATTTCATAGGTGCAGTGTTTGCACTGTCCTCAGCAGCTGACAGGGAGGCGACAGTGGTGCGGAGGGGAGGTGACAGTGTGGTGGGTAGAGCAGTCGTTTCCCAACCGGAAGGTTGAAGGTTTGAATCTCGGTGCCTCACGTCCACATGTTGAAGTGTCCTTGGGCAAGACACTGAAATCGTCTAAAATCATCCACTGTGGAGACACTATTATTTTTAAATAAAAATGCCTGAGTCACACAAGCACACTCAGTGTACACCAAGCACAATCAGAACACATAATATATTATATTATATTGTCAGAACATTAATTACATGCACAGCCTCATTGAACCCTGTAAATATTTGCTCTGTCCAGTGTGTAATTTGGGATCAATAATTATAAATCCATTTCATATTCTTAAGAGTTCTTGGGGAAGGAGGATTACTTAGGTAGTCAACATTTCATTTCAGATACTTTATAAGGCAAGGAAGAAAAACAGACACATGTAAAATGATGTTACATTTCAGCTTTGTTTAAGAAATTTCCACATTACAACAAAACTCAGTGCACACGCAAGGTGCTTCAGCATCACCTGTGCAAGGCCGCACAACAAGCACTGCACCAGCAGATGTCACCCACGTGCTCAATGAAAGAAGCTTCGAGTAGTGAACCAATTTTCGGTACAATGGTCCAAAGGGGTTCAAAGCTTAATGGGGCCCTCATATGGCCATCACTACATACACACATATACATCTTATTTGGCAGCGCCCCAGATGTTATTCTCCACAATCCCTTACCCACACGTACTGCAAAAACGAATCTACCCGATACATTTTGCAGCATTAGAAATCGGTCCATCATGCCTGGTGGCACTTTTTTAAAGTAACAGCACGCCCCGCCCAGGTGCAGTTGCGCCTCCCATTCAACAACTCTCCGCTCTGCCTATTCTTCTGTTAATGTTGTCCATCCTATTCTCTAGCTGTTAAAACCGATTCATACCAACGTTGTGATTAATTTTTCCAAACATGGCTTACACGACTGCAGGTGGGACTAAGAAGAAGGTCTGCTACTACTATGACGGTACGGGACATCTGGAGTGTCTGAATGGGAAGCCCAAATTGTGGCATCTGGCTGGCTAATGCTAGCCCCTTAGCTAGTCAGTCTGCTGCTGGTGAATGTATGTTGTTTAACATGGGCTAACGTTAGCTAACGAGCAAGCTCGCTGCTTGCGATACTGACCGTCGTGCTAACTAGTGTCACCCTGTGTGTTAACTTGTTTAAAACCATGTGGCAAACGTAATACCCCCTTTGCACCTCACTTAGAACGAGAATGCAAAAACATTAACATAAAATAAGGTTTAATTAATGTGGAAAACGTAATTAGGTTGACGCGAACGTGCTTAAGTGTCTTAGCAATCATTATCGTTGCCACAGTAGACCAGGCTTGTGCGCCATGTTGTTTCAGCGTATCTGGATGAATAAATAAAATGAATCGAAACTTTACATCCATTGGGTCAAAGTTAATATTTTAAGCCATTGAGCGACAAGTGCATCCATTTCAAGCACAATGTGATCAGGTTAAATTGATAGGCTCCGTATAATGCTGCCCATTGCGCTGAGCAGATGAGCACGATTTCACATTAGTTAGATGAAGCCGCCCTGATCCATTAAATGCACCAGTGTCCTCCCTCAGAGACGCGGCTAACATTTAAAATCCCCAATACAGGTAAGCGAGGGCATAATTAGCCATAGTTACTGCTCCTCTGGCTTTCCTATTACCGTGATTTGCAGTGCCAAAAAGCGTCCCTTGGTGGCGTAACCTGGCTGTTGTTAGCTTCTGGATAGAGTTGTTTTATACACTAACAGTGACAAACCTGCCATTTGGCAATATACACATTCACTTTTTATGCGAAGGCTTAAATTTCATTAATTTGATAAGACTAATAGTCAAAAGCTCCTTTTTAGTGTTGCTGCACCAGTTTGCCACCAGGCATATCAACTCCATTTAAAAGCTTAAAGGATAAGGCTGGCAATATTTTACATTTTGCCTAAACAAATTCCTTGAAACAACAGTGAACTGTGCAGTCAGTTGACTGGCTACACAGATGGTAAAGGCAATTCAGAAATCCTAACTAGAACATTAAATGTGTATCAGTTATTATTTACAGCATAAACAAACGTTTTTGTAACTTTTCTGTAATAGAAAATAAATTGTAATAATTTTATAATACTATCTCTCTTTCACACATCTCGAAATAAAAACATTCTCCATGGCACAAGATAAACTTTTTTTTAGATGGACCTCTAACTAAAAATTAAGTGCAGTATTTGTATTTCTCCAAATATAAACAGGTGCAATACGTCATAGAATCAGAAGAATGTCTTTTACATCAGTCCTACTGAGCACACAATGCATTTTAAAGTGAGTGTAGTTTTTATTTGCTGTGTGTTTACCATGGGTTGGACACACTGTGCACAGGCGTGTATTTCATGTGTAGACAGCAGTTCCCTCATTGTGTTCCATTTGGGCTCTGGGCTGTAGTTCTCCCCTCTCCAGGGTGTTTCTGTAGGCTCCTGTGGCTTTTTGTTACTAAGTGCTTCCAATGAGTGAACACATTTCCAATATATACATGTGTAAGCGCTGCATGAGGTGCACATGAAATGCTACGCGCTGCACACACTATGCTTTCAGTCTGTGCCAATTTGTGCGTGACGTGAACCATTGTGCATGTAAATTTGACAAGTACAGAATCTGATATCTGAGACTGATTGGGTGGACGCTGGTCATGGCCTGTCAAGCTGAAAACTGACCAATTCTGCATTTTTAATTACCATTTGTGAATTTAGATTTCTGTTGTGTTTATGTTTGCAGGTGACATAGGAAATTATTACTATGGACAGGGGCATCCCATGAAACCACATCGTATCCGGATGACTCACAATCTGCTTCTGAACTATGGACTATATAGGAAAATGGAAATCTATGTATGTTTCTAACCACCCCGTTTTAACGCTGTACTGTTGTGACTGTATGTGAGAAGTTAATCAAACACAAACATAGTTGTGGTCTTTTTATTTCTCTCTCTTAGTTTTCATCCAACTGCTTTGCTTTGGGTTTCAGAGACCACACAAAGCCACAGCAGAGGAGATGACTAAATATCACAGTGACGACTACATCAAGTTCCTCCGAAACATACGGCCAGACAACATGTCTGAATTCAGCAAGCAGATGCAACGCTGTAAGTAGTGTGTTGGCCCCTTGGAGTTTAGACAGTTTAAAATTGGCTGGACAAACAGACTGAAGAGAATTACCAGCTTGATGTATTTTATACACTGCAGTCTGCTTTAAGATGAAGTCAGTGTAAAGATACTGACCAGCAGAACTACATTTTATTATTTTAACATCGGTAGCTATGATCATGGCTGATAGTTTGTTCCTCCCAACACACTTGTGAGTAAATCTAAATCACAAAGCACTGCTCTTTAAGGTTGTAGTAGCTCTCTGTTTTAGTCTGAAAAGCCACAGAAAACTGTGTGATAAAGTCATCTTTTATAAGACAGCACTCACACTGCACTCTTGCTTCTGTTTGATTGCTGTGTTCATTGTAGTGATTTAATGGTTTCTCACCATGTGTCTTGCAGTCAATGTTGGAGAGGACTGTCCTGTGTTCGATGGGTTGTTTGAGTTCTGCCAGCTCTCGGCTGGTGGCTCTGCTGGTAAGTCAGAAGAACATGGATGAGAATAATAGCACATTTAGAGATTTACTTCCTTGGGGGGTGGTTAACCGGAAGCTTGGTGGTTTGATTCCCTGCCTCTCCAGTCCACGTGTCGAAGTGTCCTTGAACAAGATGCTGAACCCCTAGTTGATATCACTGGTGTGTGAGTGCTTGGGAGTGTGAATGGGCAAAGCCAAAGCCCTTTGAATGTGCTGCAATGCATAGAAAAGGGCTATAAATGTATAAGACCATTTACCATCTAATAGTGATACTCACTAGGGCTATCGCGATAACTGCAGTATTGTAATACTGACAAGCCAACCACATTGTGAAGAGCCCTCTATGCATGTGTCGTCACCGGCATTAGAAAAAGACTCTTGGATATACCTCCTCTGCTTCCTTACCTACGAGAGCTCGAGCAGAAACCAAACTTGCACACTACCTACAAGAGGCGACTCAGAGAGAGTTTTAGTGCTGTTGGGAACATTGTTACCCTTCTCCAATCCTCTCTGAAACCACACAAGTTTAACATGTTACTTTCCTAGCACATAACAAGGGCATGGAAACTCAGGTCTAAATATAGACATTATTCTTTACGCTAAAGGAAATTGTTTTATTTTCCTCCCTTTTATATAACTTTTCTATTGAATTTGTTTTCATTAAGACTGCTGCCCTTATTTATATAGTACTGTAATCAGGATAAAATATGTAAACAACAGAAATTGGTGATAATATCATGTATTGCAGTGTACAGCCACCCTAAATTATTGCAGGGGAAATTCCTTCACTGTGACAGCCCTACTACTTGTACAGAATACATTTTAGTAGAGCTGTAACGACACCAAAAATGCACAATATATTTGTCATGATATAAAAAAAATGAAGGATGAAAACATACCTTTTACTAAATGATAAATCAGCATTTGCTGCATAATCTCAGATCTCAAATCTGACTTTATTGGCCAGGTGTGTCGGATACATGTGGAATTTGACTCTGGTACATCAGCTCTTAATGTGTATATACATATCCCCATGCAAGGGGCAAGTAAACAGTAAACCAGCATAAGGCTGTGTAATATACAGTGGGGCAAATAAGTATTTGATACACTGCTGATTTTTCAAGTTTTCCCACTTGCAAAGAATGGACAGATCTGTAATTTTCATCGTAGGTACACCTCAACTGTGAGAGACAGAATCTACAAAAAAATTCCAGAAAATCAGCGTGCACTGCAGGATTTTAAGCCATGACGGTGTAGTGTGTTACTAATGGTAACCGTTGAGACTGCGGTCCCAGCTCTCATCAGGTCATTGACCAGGTCCTCCCGTGTAGTTCTAGGCTGATCCCTCACCTTTCTCAGGATCATTGATACTCCACGAGGCGAGATCTTGCATGGAGCCCCAGTCCGAGGGAGATTGACAGATTCTTCCATTTTCTAATAATTGTGCCAACAGTTGTTGCCTTTTCACCAAGCTGTTTGCCTATTGTCCTTTAGCAC